TTCTACCCACTTTTTAATTTTTTTTGTCTTTTTTAATTTTTTATATCAATTAATTTATTACATTATTCTTTCTTTTACCTTTCAGTTTTTCACATTTCCTTAATCTCTCCCATCAATTTGTTTTTTTTTTCAATCTTTTCAACCAATTTGATGAACACAAAGTTAATTTTTTTATTCTTTATCTTTTTTTAAATATTTTATATAAATCTTAGTAGTAATATTATTTTATTTATAATTTATATTTATTAGGTTTTATTATGTCATATTTTTTTATCTTATTATTCTTATTTATCATATATCAAATTTTATCTTAATAAAATAATTATATTTTAAAGGATTAAAAGAATTGATAATTTAAATTTTTATTACTTTGAACTAATTGAATAAGAATTAACTTATTAAATATTTTCTTATAAACTATATATTTCATATTTTTAAATGACAACTTAAAAATGAATTAACTTATATATATAATCAAATGTTTGAATACAGTATTATAATAATAGTGTTATAAATATTCAAATATTTGAATACAATGTTATAATAATAAAAATATTATAAATAAAAAAATGATTAAATATTTCTTTTACATACATATTTTAATATAAATATAATAAATTAAAATATATATTTAATTAATAATAATTATAAATTATAAATATTTATTTATATATAAAAAATAGATAGTAAAATTAATTTATTATAAATATAATTATCTTTTTAAAAATAATATAAATTGAGGAATGGGCGAGGGCGGGAACCCGAAACCCAGCGGGGATGGGGACGGGGATGAGGACTTAATTTCTAACCCCGGCGGGGATCAGGGGCGGGGACGGTGAAGGTTAAAAAAGTCGAGGGCGGGGATCAGGGAGGCAAAACCCGCCTCCGCCCCGCCCCGTTGCCATGCCTAAACATACATGCTATGTTCAACAAATTTCTCGAATGGTATAAGGATCAACAGTCTTCTAGTTCCACTATATCTATCACACATACAAATACATATTTTGCTGGTCTGACCCAATCATTTTTTCTTGGTCCTTGGGTTTTTTTATTTAGGAGCCACTGATCATATTACTGGTAACAAATCTTTGTTCTCCTCTTTATCCTCTTCTAATCATTTACCTTAATGGCTCTAGAGTATCATCTCATGGTGTTGGAACGGTTAAACTTTTTCCTTCTTTAACCATTGATAATGTTCTTTATGTCCCTGAGTCTCCTTTTAACCTGTTGTCCATCAGTCGTCTAACTCGTTCTCTTGATTGGCACCGGAGTGTTACTTTTACCAACAATTCTGTGTGTTTACAGGACCGGAGTTCGAAACAGGTGATTGGCACAGAATGTGAGTCTCATGGTTTTTATTATCTCCTTCCCTCTACACATATTAGTACAGTTATGGAGTCTCCCTCTCTTCTTCATGCTCAGTTAGGTCATCCAAGTCTTGCCAAGTTATAGAAGTTTGTCCCTGCCTTGTCCAACTTATCTAGTTTGACGTGTGAGTCATGTCAATTAGGCAAGCATAGTCGTACTTCCTTTCCTCGTAGTTTCACACATGGTGTTTCGTCTCCTTTTGTCGTGGTTCACTCTAACATTTGGGGACCTAGCCGCGTTAAATCTACTTTAGGTTTTCAATACTTTGTTACTTTTATTGATGATTATTCCATATGCACTTGGTTATTTTTGATGAAAAATCGTTCTAAATTATTTCATATCTTTCAAATTTTTTTTAATGAAATTCAAACTCAGTTCAGTGTTTCTATTAGATTTTTGCGTAGTGATAATGACCGTGAATATCTTTCTCATTCTTTTAAACAATTCATGGTTTCTCACGGTATTTTGCATCAAACTTCTTGTGCATATACACCTCAACAAAATGGTGTAGTTGATCGTAAAAATACACATCTTATTGAAACAACTCGCACACTTTTAATTCATGGAGATGTTCCTCAACATTTTTGGGGTGATGCTCTTCTTACTGCATGTTATCTCATTAATCGCATGTCTTCTTCGATTTTAGATAATAAAATACCTCATTTCATTTTATTCCCTCATGAACCACTTCATCCTTTACCTCTAAGAGTTTTCGGTTCTACATGTTTTGTTCATAATTTCAGTTCTGGTCTTGACAAGCTTTCTCCGAGATCACATAAATGTGTTTTCTTAGGATTTACAAGATCACAAAAAGGATACAAATATTTTTCTCCTTCTCTTAACCATTATTTTGTGTCTGTAGATGTCACCTTTGATGAGTTGTCTCTTTATTTTAAAAGTCAATTTTCACCTCTGTCTCCATTCAATCTTGTCAACACTCCTAGTATATTTAATGTTCATGTTGTTTGTGACCCTCTAACTGTATCTTCTTCACCATTAGTTTCTGCTCCGTAGTCAGCTTCTTCTCCACTGCCTCTTCAGATTTATAGTTGTCGAAATCAATCACAACCACCACTATGTGACTCCACTCAAGTGTCAACTACTCTGTCTCCTCTGGATTTGACACATAAGTCCGATCTTCTCATTTCCCTCCGAAAAGGTATTCGTTCTACACATAATCTCTCTCCCCATTATATTGCTTTGAGTTATAATCAACCGTCATTACCTTTTTATACATGTCTTTCCTCTATTTCTTCTGTGACCATTCCAAAAACTGCCCGTGAAGCTTTAGCTCATCCTGGTTGGCGTCAGGCCATGTTAGATAAACTAAGTGTTCTTCATAATAGTGGAACTTGGGAATTGGTCCCGTTACTGTTTGAGAAATTTGTTGTTGGTTGCAGGTGGGTGTTTGCTATCAAAGTTGGACATGATGGTACTATTGATCGCCTTAAAGCTCGTCTTGTGGCCAAAGGTTATACTCAAATTTTTGGGTTGGATTGTGGAGATACCTTTTCCCTTGTGGCAAAGATGACTTTTGTTCGTTTATTTATCGCCATGGCCGCTCTTCAACAATGACCTCTTTATCAACTGGATGTTAAAAATGCTTTCTTCAATGGTGATTTGCAAGAAGAAATATATATGGAGCAACCTCCTGGGTTTGTTGCTCAGGAGGAGTCTTCTGGGATGGTATGTCGTCTTCACAAATCCCTATATGGCCTAAAACAGTCTCTTAGGGCTTGGTTTGGAAAGTTTAGCAAGGTTGTTCAATAATTTGGTATGACTCGTTGTGAAGCAGATCATTCTGTCTTTTATCGACACTCGAGTGCTGGATGTGTTTACTTGATAGTATATGTTGATGACATCGTTCTTACATGTAGTGACAACCATGACATCTCTTAGTTGAAATAACATCTCTGTTACCATTTTCAGACCAAAGATCTTGGCAAACTTAGATATTTCTTGGGTATTGAGGTGACACAGTCCAATGATGATATTGTTATATCTCAGAGGAATTATGCCATAGATATTTTGGAATAAACTGGGTTGATGAGTTCAAAGTCTGTTGATATACCCATGGATCCCAATACTAAACTTCTACCAAATCAGGGGGAGCCTATATCTGATCTTGAGCAATATAGAAGATTGGTTGGAAAATTGAATTATCTTACAGTTACTCGTCCGGACATTTCCTTTGCAGTCAGTGTGGTAAGTCAATTTCTTAATTCACCATGTGAAGATCATTGAAATGCAGTCATTTGTATCTTGAAGTATATTAAAGGATCTCCTAGAAAAAGATTGTTATATGATTCTAATAACTATACAAAAGTTGTTTGCTACTCAGGTGCTGATTGGGCAGGATCTCCTTCGGATAGAAGATCTACATCTGGATATGTGTCTCCATTGGTGGTAACTTGATTTCATGAAAAAGTAAGAAACAAAGTGTTGTGGCAAGATCCAGTGCAGAAGAAGAATAGAGTTATGGCCTCAGCTGCCTGTGAACTTGTTTGGCTCAAACAATTACTTAGAGAGTTACAATTTGGAGATGTCACTCAAATGACATTTGTGTGTGACAATCAAGCTGCTCTTCATATTAGTTCTAATTCTGTCTTTCATGAGAGGACCAAACACATTGAGATTGACTGTCATTTCATTCGAGAAAAGATTATGTCTGGAGATATCAAGACTGAGTTTGTTAACTCAAGTGATCAGTTAGCAGATATTTTCACTAAGTCTTTACGGGGGCCTAGAATTAATTATATTTGTAACAAGCTTGAGACATACGATTTATATGCTCCACCTTGAGGGGCAGTGTTACATATTGTTTAGATATTGTTTAGATATAGTTTGATATTGTTAGATATTATTAACCACAATATCAAACAATATCTTATGTTTATTCTGTTTATTTTTGGTTACTATTTTAGTTGTATCTCTCTATTATAAATAGATTACCCTATGTGTGATTTATACACTAGAGAGATTAATTTCAAACCCTATTTCCTTTATATTCAACAATACAGCAAATATTTGATAAGCTAAAAATCAATTAACTAACAACTTATTATTATTATTATTATTAAAGAAGCTAAAATTAAATAATTTACGAAAAAAAAATTAAAGTGAATAAATTAATTTTGTTAGCATTTGATTCAAGAGTAATTTCGAGCTTAATTTTAAGACATCTATATAAATTTTACATTTTAAATTATTGTTAAGATCTATACATTTGAGGTACTTAGATATGTGTGAGTTTATCATCCATCAATATAAAAATCACGCCATATGTGTTCTCATTTTTTGTTTTGTACGTTTTTAGAGTTTGACTTGAGCCAAGAACATTGTATATAACATACAAACATAAATTTATGATTGATAGACTGGATAAACTTTTATTCGAATTTTAATGTCATTTATAACAATATATATAAAGGTGAGATTCACTTTTAGTTTTTATGGCATATTTGTCCCTAAAATACAAAATAACGCGACCATGAATATAAACTACTATAATAACTAACTTTAAAATAGTTACTCCTATCCTTCTCATAAATAACGGTTAAAATTGAGTATAACCACTATGCTCTCCCACAATTTATAAATCAAAATAGCATTGAAATAGAAGAAATGGTAATATGACTTGCAATCACAAACCTTATCCCCGGAGGACAATAGACTCTCGCATCGTGGTTTATAGAAGCAACCATATGCACCAGGTCATAGCAAGCAAAATCGCAAAGCATTGTTATCTTTTTTAACAATTTTTCTTTTTCCTTTCCAGCTTGCTTATCACATCACATCGGCTTTTATATATGAAAGAATATGTACTTTGACCGTTTTGAAAAACTTTACAATCTATCAATTGTGGGTTGTAGATGCTCTGACTAACTCTTTTTCCTTCTGAACTCAAGGTAGAAAAACTCTACTTGAGTTGTAGCCAGAATCTGCAGCTCAAACCTGTTATTGCGCGACCTCTTTCTCAAATTAAGAAGTTGTCAGAGCATGTAAAATTGCGAAAAGAAATGGAAAAGGAACTTTTGTATACCTAGTATCTTACTTGGTGAAATATGACATCAGTTGTTCAAATAAACAATTAAAAAACTATAGTAATCATCCTTCTGATTGTGGAAACAAAGTTTTGGTTTTAGAATAGGATATTTACAAATTAATGTAAGCCATGTAATGTAAGGTCACAATTATGTAACAAATGGATGGAGCCGTGAAATGTGGTAAATTTGTTACATTCCCTGCAAATACTAGGCAATATGAATTGCATTAGACCGATGGATTTCATCAGCATATGCTGAGGGAACATAGATTGCATGTAACAGTGAGCTATGAGTGCGGCCATAGATTAAGTATATGAGTACTCCTATTAACATCCATATTGAAACTCGTAGCCATGTAGCAACTCTGAAATACAAACACATGAAAGGTTAGATGTTGGTACTGGTGCCATGCATGCAACAAAACAGAAAGTATAGTTTTCAAGAGGTTTCTCACCCAAGGTCAATCAGTAAGTAGGTGTTTATAAGAATACATGCAGTAGGCAAGAATGGAACAAATGGGCAAGCAAAACCTGAAAATACAAGTTATCAAAACCATGGTGTCAGATCTGATCAAAAACCTTGTTATCTGAAATTAAGATATGAAACACGGTGAATTAGTAGTTAAGAGATTGTGATTCACTGATTAGAAAGTTTTTAAAGATGATAATTTAATAAAATAAATTTAATCATTACATCTTTGATAATTGTAAGCAGTCACAGAGGAGTAGGAGGTAGCTATAAAATTTGTGGTTCATTCTAAAATGATTTTCAATCCATCAAAGTTTGTTAGGTTTGGATGATTAGACTTGTATACTACACATACCTCCTGAGTGTCCAAAGGTGTGCCTTGTATCATCTTGCTTTATGCTGGCCAATACAATTAAACTGCACAAAAGAAGAACACCACCTATTCCACAAAACGTTAACCGCAAACACCTGCATGTCTCACCAAAAGAGAACAGAACTGAGCATAAAGCACTAGTCATGAATTTGAAGTGATTAAATTAACTCAAACAACTTTTTTTCCAAATGGACATAGTATTCAGTTGAAAAGCATTCCTATAAACAAATATCATCCTCAGATAACAACACTAGTGAGGATTGTCAAAGTTGACGGACCTGGGACACCAGTCAGCTGAAGCAGCGCTGGTAACTATTAGAATCCCCATACATAGAAGGGCTATGGTCCATGCAGCAAGTTTTCGCCTAGATTTCTCATTCTGTTCATCTGTAAAATCAACCCAAAACCTAAAGTTTGTTAATTTAAAAGCACATCATAGAAAACGGAGGCAAAGGTTGATACAAATAATATCAATGTATGCCAAGAACATTTGACAGAACATTTATGGAAACTGAACATAACTTAGGTGCAGTTTTTAAAATGTTTTTGGTGTTGTTTTTCAATCAGGATTAGATTTCCACTTGAGGAATCAATGTTGACCTTTAAAGTTACCTTCATTACACTGATTACTAAGTTGAAACTAATATTGATTGGAAAACAACAATTATAAGGAATTAAACTGAAGTTTTGCCCATGTCTCTAAAATACAGATTAGAAATTTAAAATTGAAGTGCTTAGAAAAGAGAGGAGATACTTAAAAAAAAATTCTTCAACAAAATCTGAGTCCACAGTACTAGGAATATTGGTAGATTATTTCTGTCAATGTCCTGTCAGCCTAAGTAATTTACATAGCCAATCCTATCTTACAGAAATCATAAACCACCAAAGGATGTCTTCTAATGTACATGCAAAAGAACTGCGAACACATCTACCCTCTAAATTTTCTCTAAAATTCATTCCAAAAAAAGGGCAGAAGATTCAAACAATAATTACCTTTGGTAACTTCTCTTATGATTAAAGGATGCCGAAGTAGAGCCTCTGACTTGTTATGTAGATGGTTATCCTCACAGTAACTAGAAGAATCTACAGGGCTTGTGGCCCTATCCTCCTTTATATGACCTCCAGAGTGCCCCAATGATCGATAAACAGATGTTAGAACTGAAGACGGAATGGGTACCTCATCAGGTGGAACATATCTGATTATCAAAACTGAAACTGCAACTGTGGTAAATGCAAGTAATGTTCCCACACTAACCTGTATTCCCAAAGCAATGAATATATCAAACAAATAATCTTTACTAAATTCTAAGAATGTGTCTCTTATTGTCTCAATTTACCACTTAACTCACCATCCCTGCTAATTGGGAAACATCCAAAAAGAATGCAAGAGTAGCTGCAAAGACACCAGTGACAATGGTACTTTTCAAAGGAACCTGTGTGCCTTTATGGATGTCTGAGAAGAAAGGAGGCAATAAGCCATCCCTAGCCATTGCCATAAAGACACGTGGCTGCAAAACATAAGATATATTTAACTTTTGCAATAAGCATAATTTATAATAACTATAATATGTGCAGCATATCTAGTTCATAGACATATGTGTGTGTGTGTGTATATATATATATATGTATGTATAAGATATTTAAGAGTCAATTAAAAGATACTTCTATTAGTTGCTACACATGCTGACACTTATAGGATAGTAAAATTAGACATTCTTGTAAAAGTAGAAAATATTATACATAAAAGAAAGACATGGTAACTCACACTATGTTTTCTGGAAGTCATGCATTTTGTACCAAAGACTAGTCTAAGAAACAACTCAAAAGAGACAGCCAGATACATTTAAAAATGTAAATGAAATGCATTTGAATTGAATCATGATTTTCAAATCAAAATATGACCTTATATCAATCCTTGAACATCAATGTGTCAGAAATATGCAGGTAAATTGAATTGCTAAACAATAGGATACAATTGCTCTACTGGGGATTAAAAGACACATAGGAAGTTTTCCATTAGTGTAATGAGAATCTTAGCTCCTGACTTCCCGTTACAGCATTTCATCTCATATTATACCGAAATATGCAGAATGTACATAATGAAATCAAATAATTGAGTAACAAATTAGGGCTTAAATGAAGTTGGAAAAATTTAATCTTAAGCACTTAATTATGCACCTGAGGAAGAACAGAACCCAGCAAACTGGAAAAAAGGGCAGTCACAGCTCCAGTTGTTATAATATACCTGTCAGATGTAAAATGAATCTTGAATTATGATGCACAAATACGATACAAGTATCATATACGATACATATCCGATATTACAATTCGTCTTATATTTAAAAATATAAGATACGATACGTGTGTGTGTGTGTGTGATATATATATATATATATATATATATATATATATATATATATATATATATATATATATATATATATATATATATATATATATAAAATTTATAAAAAAATATTATATATAATTATTAAATATTATTTAAATTGAACATATTAAATATATTTTTAAATGTATATATGACTTTAAAAAAATTTAAGTGTAAAATAAAAGTTAACAATAACTGTTTTTTGTTTAGAAATAGAAATAATATCAATTTTTTCTCCTCTTTGAGGATCATTAGTAAATAATATCTGATACGGATACGTTGGGCTTGCCAACGTATCGGTACATCAGAGATCTTGAAGCTTCAAGATACATGTACTCCAACCAGTAAATAGAGTGCCACAGCAAACCTTACACTGCCCATTCCATCCCATAACTAGAAAATGCTGAAGAAATTGGGGTATCAGGGTTCAACTCATAATATGGTACTAAACCAACAATAACTGCAGCTACAAGCATATAGAGAACACAACATATAGTTAATGCAGTTGATATGCCAATAGGCAGGTCTCGCTGCGGATTTTTCACCTGCAAGATAACAAAACAAAAACCATTGACAATAATCTCCAACTGAATATTGTTAATCACAAATACCAGAATCCCAAGGCCATGATGCTTTTGGGATACTCAAACTACCAGACAGAAATATTGATATAGACATAAACCATGAAAATAACTAGTTATAGATCTTCTTCAAATAATTTTATTTGTATTCCTTAAAGAGACCAACAAGTACCCATTCACAAGCTTATATATCAACTTCCAGAAGTAAAGGAATAAGAAAGGAATGTCAATCACCACTGTTTTAGTAGTGACAGCTTCAAAAAATTACTCCAGGGCCTAAAGCTGATTAGAGTAATGAAAAGGTTTTACGGTAAAGGTGAGGTTTTCATTAAAAATATGAAATGTGTTCTTCAACAAATAATCTGTGCTAATTTGATGAGTTTACATTTAGTTTCTGCCAATATAAACAACACATGACTTAAAGGATAGTTCCTCAAGTGAATGTTTACCTCCTCAGCTGTGCTGCTCACTGAATCAAAACCAATGTATGAAAAGAACACTATCGCAGACCCAGCAAACATCCCATTAACTCCATAAGGAAAATACCTAAGATAAAAGAGAAATTTTGGTGATATCACGAGGTATGCCACATAGATCATGAGCTGAAAAATGCAGACACAAACACGCCCATTACCCGCTGGAGAGTTCATATCCGACCCATCCAGACTTGAAACCTAGATATCCACCAGCTAAAATGATGAAAAGCATGACACCAACATTTACTGTCGTAACAATAGATTGTGCCGTTGAACTCTGAAACAATAATGTTATATAACAAAGATAAGTGAAAGAAAAAAAACAATTGTTGTTTGTATATGTATTTTATTTGAAAAGCCATACCTCCTTGATTCCAAGGCACAGGAGTAGGGTAACAAGAAGAATCAATGCAGCTGCACATGGATCAACCACAATTCCAAGACCTGGTAACTTGTGTCGAGCCAAAAATAAAGGTAGGTTTTCCTCTCCACCAAAAAACAAGGCCTAAAATAGGCAATGACAGAATTATTACAAAACCAAATTGTTAAGTATGTTGCACTTGTTGGAAAGAGTAAATATGTCACCAATTAGGAAAAAAAAGGAGCATTCCTGAGGAAAAATATGTTTATGATATAGGAAGTTACTGTTCGGGTATAAGGAGAAGGAGAAGTTAATAAGATAGTTAGCATATTAATGAGTTAGTTAGTTACTT